TCTCTTCAAGAAAATTAGAGATACAAAGGGAACATTTCATACAAAGATGGGCACAAAAAGGACAGAAATGGTATGGACCTAACAGAAGCAGGAGATATTAAGAAGATGAGATGGTTGGATGGCATCACCAATTCAACGGACTTGAGTTTGAGCAAACTCTGGGAGATGGTGAAAGACAAGGAAACCTGGTGTGCTGTAGTCCATGGGGTTGCAAAGAGTCAAACACTACTGAGCAACTGAACAACAACAAAGTAGTTCATGATAATTTTATTTATATAGGCTTTTCACATGTGTTGTCAGATTTATTTTTATTTATTTTATACTTTTATTATTTTTAAAGAGCTAAATTAGTTTTATTATGCTACATTGAGTACAGAATAGTGTAATATTTATCCACAATAAGAAGGGTAGATAGATGAAATACAAGTTTTACTTAGCAGTTGAGTTCTGATTTCCTCTGCTAGCTTCTGGAGGCTACCTTGGCTAGAAATAGAAAGCTAGGCTGGAAACCAGGAAGCAAGAGCTTCATATAAGTACATTTAGAGTTGGTTTGCTCTTGGGTTAGAGAGTAACCACTTCAGAGAGAATGGGAAATGGGCCAGGTTCTATAAAACAGCAGTAGTAGGAAAAAGCACTTTGTATTTTGCATTCTTGATCTGAAGAATGTTTCTGATATTTTCTTTGTGAATTTCCTTTGTATTATACCTTAGTATATGACAAAGTATAATGGAAAATTCCAGCCTGCCTTAGCTGTCCTAAAATAACCCACGAGAAATAGTTTGGGTCCATGACTGAGCGGTACTATTAAAGGTGCACCCATGCCCCTCTTGGTAATGGCAGCAAGACTGTCTTCCAAACAAGAATTTTAAGTGATCTATCACTTTGGAGGACTCCAGGTTTCCCCCTATGCTTTCACCAAAGGGAAGGTAAAATTTACCACTCGTGGTCCTCCCCAGCTACAGATTTTCTTTCCTGAGCTGAAACCTTAAAACTTCAGTGTTTTCATTTTTAAAAGAGGCACTCCCCACTCCTAGACGCTTAATAAATACTTGGAATGAGGCCGTTTTCTGATTGGTTGGCCAGACATAAAGACGCATTCTGATTGGTCGGTACCCGTGGCTGGCGTGGGCGAGGGGTTGGAGGGTGAAGGTAGAAACGAACAGAAAGTCCCCTGTGCCCCGAGCGAGCGCAAAGCAGCAGCTGATGGTGAGCACGTAAACATAGTATTCACTGGTGAGAATCTCATTATTTTCAAATAAGCCGTTGTAAGAAAGGGACAAATATTTAAGCAACAGTTGGAGTGTTTGCAATTGCAACTCCCACTGATGAATGTAAGATGGTAAAAGGGCAACAGGGGACATTGGCTCAGAACAGAGTGTTAAGACTGTGGTAATAGAAAGCAATCTGTTCAAGACGAGGTCTTGGAGGGCAAAGACAACAAAAATAAAACCGATCAAGTGAAATGGATAAATAGTGGAGAGAGGCAATAACAACCTTATAATCATTGAGAAAATCCTGACATTAATAAATCTTGAAAGACAGATATGGAAGCTGAAGTTGAGGGAGGGGACTCTCTCAGAACACCCAGTAACGATGGCAAAAGTGAAGATGTTAGAGGAGGAGTATAAGTAACAAAAATAAGTTAGAAAACCATTTTTTTTTTGGTAGAAAAAATATCAAATACTAGCCTGCTCTTTGTTTCATGTGGGTATAGAGCACATCTATATACTTACCTTCCTTTAAAAAGTCAGCCATTCTTATAAATATTCATCTTCAAGTAGCTAAGAGTGATTTTAGACTCATGAGTTTTTAGTGCTGGGGCTTAGAGGCCATCTCTTCCAGCTCCCATTATTTTACAGGTAAGGATCCTGACATCTGGGGAGAAGATGTGATTTATGCAGGCTCACACTCCCAGGCTCCTTACCTGACTTCCCTTCCAGCATTCTTTCTGTGACCTCAGGAGTTTCCAAGTGTTTAAAGTAAAAAGACCCCCTGCTTTTAATATCAAACATGTTGAATACTCTTACATGATCAAAGCTGTGATTTTAGTATCTACTGATTATAAAATTTACATGTGATCATGATAAAAAGCAGCCATGAATTCAGCAAAGCTTATAAAGTATCTTGTATTAATCATGGACATTTGAAAAGGCAGAGTATATCTATGAATGACACATGATAGTTTCAGTGTATAGGCAGCTCAAATGGACCACAACCCTGAGGCCTCCGAGGGCCAACAGCTTCCAGGCTGGGAACTGGGCCCTGCACCAGGATGAGCTGGCTCTTTTGAAACCCAGCATTAGAAGACATACTTCCATTTTCTTAAGAACAAAGAAAGCATCAAGTGAAATCAAGTATCTTAATGTGAAAAGAATTTCATAAAGACTTTGGGTAATTTCAGACCACAGAGGAAGAGTGTCCTATTCTGTGAACCTGGCCCAGGGCTCATCATTGGATGAGCAGGGCAAAGAATTGGCTGCCTTTCTATCTTCACAGGATGAGCAGAGTGGAGAAGTGGCTGCCCTTCTGTCATCACTGGTTGAAAGGAAGTCCATCCCACAGTGGGAGAGACTCAGAGTATCACAGTGGGCGTTAGAAGGGGCTGGAGTTGGGGGAAGACTGAGGGGTGCAGTGCTCCCCTAGATCGGAGTCTGCTGTCTGGGAATCTGAGGGCCATACTGGTGGGGATACTTCCAGGAGTTCCCTGGTCAGTTACCACTTACTAAACACCTACTCTGTGCCAGGCATCCTGCTAGGTGCTTCACAGGCACCATTTCATTTAATAATCACACTTCAAGAGAGATGTTATTCTCATCCCCACTGTAGGGTTGAGGAAAGAAAAGCTTAGAGAGGTTTTGTAATTTGCCTAAGATCTTGGGGCTGGAATTGGAAGCCTGACAGCTTGATTCCAGAGTGTCTATTCCTAATCACTACCTTAGCCAGCAAGAAGGTACTGAGCTGCTGTGAGATTCAATTGAGATAATCCTTCTAAAAGTGTATCTGAGCTTATCAAAAGGGCTTATTACATGGTGATGATGATTATCAATCTTTTCAACATTTTTATGTTGGAAATGCAAATGACATAAAAAGGATGAAAATACAGGAGGGTTGTAGGAAAATTAGAGTGTGAAATCTTCCAAGATGGGGTTTAGAAAAAACAAAAGTATTGTGCCCTTGAGTAAGAGAAGGGAAACCAGACTGTTAACCTAGAGGAGTGGCTGGAGTACAGGGGGTTGATGTGGATGGACATGGACATGGAGACCTCCCAGGGGTGACAAGGCTGCCTCCACGAGGACGGCAGGAATTGCCATCTATGCAGGGGGCAAGTCCCGAGACAGGCAGAATGTGTGTGACCCTGTGTGTTTCCCAGGTGGTGCTAGTGGTAAGAAACCCACCTGCCAGTACAGGAGATGCAAGAGACACAGGTTCAGCCCCTGGGTTGGGAAGATCACCTGGAGAAGGAAATGGCAACCCACTCCAATATTCTTGCCTGGAGAATCCCAGGGACAGAGGAGCCTGGTGTTGCATGGTCAGACACTACTGAAGCGACTTAGCACAGCACCCTGTGTGGAGCAGTGTGTGATAGGGGAGCTTCTGATTTGACTGGCTGGGTTCAGAGACAAGAATATTTCATCACCTTTTTCTTTTTAAAAAATTTAATTTATTTAATTTATTTATTTTGCTGTGTGTTGCAACTTTCTCTAGTTGCAGAGAGTGGGGACTACCCTACAGTTGTGGTGCTTGCGCTCCTCATTGTGGTGGCTTCTCTTGTTGTGGATCCAAGCTCTAGGGCATGCGGGCTCAATAGTTGTGGTTCCTGGGTTCCCTTACCCTCCTACTCGGGTGCCACTACCCAATAAAGTCTCTTACTTTGTCAAAAAAGAAAAAAAAAAAACAACAAAAAATGTGTGGCTCTAGAGCCCAGGCTCAGGAGTTGTGGTGCCTGGGCCCAGTTGCTCCATGGGGTGTGGGCTCTTCTTGGGTCAGGGATCGAACCCTTGTCTCCTGCATTGGCAGACGGGGTACCACTGAGCCACCAGGGAAGCCCACCTTTACTCTTATTATTACCCATCTCTTTGTGTCCAGGGGGGTCTGAAGGGGACATTTGTTAGCTCTGACACAGTAATAAAAAATATAGATGTGGTCAAAATGACATCCTGATAGAAAAACTGAGATATGGTCAGGATCCAGAAAAGTTGAGTTGTTCAAAATCTCTGTTTTGAAAATATGATGCCCTTCAAAAGAGTTCTGCCATGGTATGTTAAGAAAGAAGGCATGGTTTGATAGCTTAAATTTTCAAAACTTAGAAATTTCATTTTAGAGAATTAAAATTGTATATATGTAGCAAAATAACTTTCTTTAAAATTTCAAGCAGAACTTTAAAAATTTCACACTCAATTGAGTTTACTCATTCTCTAGGGAGAAAAGTTCTTTTGCAGAGAATGATTTAATCCATGAAACTGACTTTTACTGTCCCTGTTAGAGGATAAGATTTTCTACTTAATCTGAGCAAATGATTGAACAAGTTTTGTGGAATTTGGCAAATTTTCCTCTAGAAGTTGTCATATTTTTCCCTTTGATTAACTGAAACCAGGGAGGTACATATGACAACCGCAAAAGAAAATACATTGTTTGCAGTAATTGGTTAATTTGAGGAGGCTCAGATGGTATGTTATCCTAGAAATTGCTAAAAAATGAGACTTCTCCATTCTGAAAAGCCTGATGAGATAAGAAACACAGCAGTTTGAAGGTCTTTTTGGTGCATTGTGTCCAAAGTTTATTGTAAGAAGGAGGAAATATGTTAACATGTCAGTATTTTCAGGTGACATCAACACTAACTGTCTAGAGGATGACAAGACTCAGCATATCATATAAAGAGACTGGTCCTTTGATGGCAAGGCTTCCAAGCAGAAATGTATCATAGTAGGGACAAATGGGTATTAATAACAAGTAGTTTGGGACAGGTGCTCCACGATAAATAGGGCTATCACAAAGCTTGATCAGGATATCAGACTGTTGAGGACAGAAAATGTTTCTAATCCCTCCACATCATAGGGCCCTCCAGCAAAAATGAGGAGTTTGCTGTGGGAAAAAAAAAAATTGGGCATTTTGCTCTGAGAAACTAAGATTCTCAGATTTCACCAGTCTGGGGTCTACTTTGCAGAACAACAGCCTTTCCCATGACAGAGCCTGTCCTCAGCCATGAGTCACTGCTGGCATCCATGGTTCTGTGTTGCCCAGAGGCCTGGTTGGTGTCCCGTATAAGAGGCCCCACACCTGTCAGTTGCTCCAGTGAGATACTCCTTTTCTCTCAAAGAATCCTAGCAGACATTGGGATCATTATCTGTGATGATTAACTTTATGTATGAACTTAACTGGCCTCAGGGTGCCTATATAAATACTCAAACATTAATTCTGGGTGTTTCTGTGGGGGGGAGGCGTTTGGATAAGATTAACACTTGAGTCAGTAGAATGAATAAATCAGATTACTCTCCCGAATGTGAAAAGGTGAGTGGGCCTCACCCAATCTGCTGAAGGGCTAAATAGAGCAGAAATGTTGACCCTCTATTCAGTAAGAAAGAATTCTTCCTGCCAAACTACCTTTGAACTGTCGTTGTTTAGTCACTCAGCCGTGTCCAGCTCTTTGCGACCCCATGGACTGCAGCACGCCAGGCTTCCGTGTCCTTCACCACCAACTCCTGGAGCTTGCTCAAACTCATGTCCATTGAGTTGGTGATGCCATCCAACCATCTCGTCCTCTGTCGTCCCCTTCTCTTTCTGCCCTCAATCTTTCCCAGCACCAGGGTCTTTTCTGATGTCAGCTTTTCGCATCAAGTGGCCAAAGTATTGAAGCTTAAGCCTCAGTATCAATCCTTCCAATGAATATTCAGGATTGAGTTCCTTTAGGATTCACTGGTTTGATCTCCTTGCAGTCCAAGGGACTCTCAAGAGTCTTTTCCAAACCTGCAGTTCAAAAGCATCAATTGTTTGGCACTCAGCCTTCTTTATGGTCCAACCTTTGAACTGAAACATCAGCTTTTCTTGGGTCTTAGGCCTGTGACTTTCAGATTGGAAGCTTGCCAACTTACCCTGCAAGTCTTGGGACTTGTCAGCCTTTATAATCACATGATTCAATTCTTCATAATAAATCTCTTTCCACATATAGATACAGATATAGATATGTAGGTGTCTTATTGATTCTGTTTCTCTGGAGAACACTGAGTAATACACTGTCCATCATCTAATTTACTTCTCTGGTTTGGGGATTTTCCTAGTGAATTTGTCAGAGTCCTCCAGAGAAATAGAACCAAACACACACAAACAAATATATATATATATATATATATATATATATATATATATATACATGAAGAGATTTCCCTGGTGGCTCAGTGGTAAAGAATTCGCCTGCAATGGAGGAGGTGTAGATGTGGTTTTGATCCCTGGGTTGGGAAGATCCCCTGCAGGAGGGCATGACAACCCACTCCAGTATTCTTGGGTGGTGAATCCCATGACTCCTCACCTGACAGGCTACAGTCCATAGGGTCACAAAGTCAGACATGACTGACTTGACTGAGCATGAACACACGTGAGGAGATTTATTATGAGGAATTGGCTCATGTGATTATAGAGACTGAGAAGTCCCACAGTTTGTGGTCTGTAAGCTGGAAACCCATGGGAGCTGGTGGTGTAATTCAACTGAAAGCCTAATTCAGAGTCTGAAAGTCTAAGAACCAGGAGATTTAATGCACAGACTCCAATCCAGGTTAGAAGATCTGAATGAGAGCCAGGAGTACTGAGAGAGGAAGATTAATATTCCAGTTCAAGCAATCAGGCAGGAAGGACTGAATTCTTCTTACTCTCCCTTTTTGTTCTATTCAGACCTCAGTGGATTGGATGATTCCCATCCACATTGGGAAGGGCACGTTGCTTTACTGAGTTCTTTGACTCAAATACTAATTTCATCCAGAAGCATCCTGACAAACATATCCAGAAAAAAAAGTTAAGCCAAATATCTGGGCATTTTGTGGTCCTGTCAAGTTGACAGATAAAATTAACCATCATACCCAATGAGTATGTGGTTGCTGTCCCCACACCTTAGCTGCAGGATGCAGGCATGTGACCTGTGCTGGGCCACTCAGATGTTCCTACCTGGGTCTTCACATGTGAAGAGCATGAGCTAAGAGGACAAGTCAGTCACACCTCACTTCTGGTTGTGGCAGAGATTGGCTGGTAAAGCATGGTTATCTTGGCATTCCAAACATGCTGATTTTTCTCCTCATTTTCTAAGCCTCATTCTCCATCACCAGTGGCTTCTGAACGCCCTGTCAGTCAGTCAGTTTAGTCGTTCAGTTGTGTCTGACTCTTTGCGACCCATTGAACCTCAGCACGCCAGGCCGCCCTGTCCATCACCAACTCCCAGAGTTTACCCAAACTAATGTCCATTGAGTCGGTGATGCCATCTAACTATCTCATCCTCTGTCGTCCCCTTCTCCTCCTACCTTCAATCTTTCCCAACATCAGGGTCTTTTCAAATGAGTCACCTCCTCGCATCAGGTGGCCAAAATATTGGAGTTTCAGCTTTAACGTCAGTCCTTCCAATGAACACCCAGGACTGATCTCCTTTAGGATGGACTGGTTGGATCTTCTTGCAGTTCAAGGGACTCTCAAGAGTCTTCTCCAATGCCACAGTTCAAAAGCATCAATTCTTCTGCACTCAGCTTTCTTTATGGTCCAACTCTCACATCCATACATGACCACTGGAAAAACCATAGCCTTGACTAGATGGATCTTTGTTGACAAAGTAATGTCTCTGCTTTTTAATATGCTGTCTAGGTTGGTCATGACTTTCCTTCCAAGGAGTAAGCATCTTTTAATTTCATGGCTGCACTCACCATCTGCAGTGATTTTGGAGCCAAAAAAAATAAAGTGAGTCACTGTTTCCACTGTGTCCCCATCTAATTGCCATGAAGTGGTGGGACCGGATGCCATGATTTAGTTTTCTAAATGTTGAGTTTTAAGCCAACTTTTTCACTCTCCTCTTTCACTTTCATCAAGAGGCTCTTTAGTTCTTCTTCACTTTCTGCCATAAGGGTGGTGTCATCTGCATATCTGAGGTTATTGATATTTCTCCCGGCAATCTTGATTCCAGCTTGGGCTTCATCCAGCCCAGCATTTCTCATGAGTACTCTGCATATAAGTTAAATAAGCAGGGTGACAATATACAGCCTTGACGTACTCCTTTTCCTATTTGGAACCAGTCTGTTGTTCCATGTCCAGTTCTAACTGTTGCTTCCTGACCTGCATACAGGTTTCTCAAGAGGCAGGTCAGGTGGCCTGGTATTCCCATCTCTTTCAGAATTTTCCAGTTTATTGTGGTCCACACAGTCCAAGGCAAACCATTTAATGTCACGGTAATCCAAGTCTATGCCTTGACCAGTAATGCTGAAGAAGCTGAAGTTGAACAGTTCTATAAAAACCTATAAGAACTTTTAGATTTAACACCCAAAAAAGATGTCCTTTGCATTATAGGCAACTGGAATGCAAACGTAGGAAGTCAAGAAATACCTGGAGTATCAGGCAAATTTGGCCTTGGAGTACAGAATGAAGCAGGGCAAAGGCTAATAGAGTTTTGCCAAGAGAACGCACTGGTCATAGCAAACATCCTCTTCCAACAACACAAGAGAAGACTCTACACATGGACATCACCAGCTGGTCAACACTGAAATCAGATTGATTATGTTCTTTGCAGCCAAAGATGGGGAAACTCTAGAGTCAGCAAAAGCAAGACTGATAGCTGACTGTGGCTCAGATCATGAACCCCTTATTGCCAAATTCAGACTTAAATTGAAGAAAGTAGGGAAAACCACTAGACCATTCAGGTATGACCTAAATCAAAGCCCTTATGATTATACAGTGGAAATGAGAAATAGACTTAAGGGACTAGATCTGATAGACAGAGTGCCTAATGAACTATGGACAGAGGTTCATGACATTGTATAGAAGACAGGGATCAAGACCATCCCCAAGAAAAAGAAATGCAAAAAAGCAAAATGGCTGTCTGAGGAGGCCTTACAAATAGCTGTGAAAAGAAGAGAAGTGAAAAGTAAAGGAGAAAAGGAAAGATATACCCATTTGAATGCAGAGTTTCACAGAATAGCAAGGAGAGATAAGCAAGCCTTCCTCAGTGATCAGTGCGAAGAAATAGAGGACAACAATAGATTAGGAAAGACTAGAGATCTCTTCAAGAAAATTAGAGATACCAAGGGAAGATTTCATGCAAAAATGGGCTCAATAAAGGACAGAAATGGTATGGACCTAACAGAAGCAGAAGATATTAAGAAGAGGTGGCAAGAATACACAGAAGAACTATACAAAAAAGATCTTCACAATCCAGATAATCACGATGGTGTGATCACTCACCTAGAGCCAGACATCCTGGAATGTGAAGTCAAGTGGGCCTTAGGAAGCATCACTACGAACAAGGTGGAGGTGATAGAATTCCAGTTGAGCTATTTCAAGTCCTGAAAGATGATGCTGTGAAAGTGCTGCACTCAATATGTCAGCAAATTTGGAAAACTCAGCAGTGGCCACAGGACTGGAAAAGGTCAGTTTTCATTCCAATCCCAAAGAAAGGCAATGCCAAAGAATGCTCAAACTACTGCACAATTGCACTCATCTCACACGCTAGTAAAGTAATGCTCAAAATTCTCCAAGCCAGGCTTCAGCAATGTGTGAACCGTGAACTTTCAGATGTTCAAGCTGGTTTTAGAAAAGGCAGAGGAACCAGAGATCAAATTGCCATTGCTAGATCATCGAAAGCCCTGTATATCTTTCCAATTAATGTTCTTTTCTACTGAAGATCTAAAGTCAGTCTCTGTTACTTGTAACCACAAACTCTGAAACTGTTCTAGAGGTGAGGGCTATCCTTCAGGCTGGACACTTGGAATCAAGAGCAGCCTATTGCTGATTTGTGTCATGTGTAAAGATACAGGCAGATGGCTCTGGCTACAACCAAGAGGAATGCTGAAGCCAAAGGGCGTGACCACATCAATGACAGTGGCTAAGTATCATGCCTTTCC